TGCCCCCCGCCTTCCCACTGCTTCCCCTTGGGGCCCAGGCTGGGAGGGTGGGAGTCCTGGCAGCAAGGCCTGAAGCTCTTTGTGCCCCCAGGCCCCTGTCCTCTGGGGCTCGGCCAGGAGGGAGGGGTCCAGGGCCCTGTCCTCTGGTGTGGGGAGCGTCCCCTGTCTCCGGGCACGGCTGGGAATCAGCTGCCCCTTCGTGCAGACCCAGCCAGCTGTGCTCGGGAGGGGGCGCGGCCCGCGGAGGTGGGGCCATCCCGCCCGCCTGAGGGTCCTTCCCCGGCCCTGTCCACCCGGGGAGGCGGGCGGGCGTGGAGCCGCCAAGTCCAGGCCTGCGGCCTCTGCTCCGCCCCCCTCCGGGCGGGGTCCCCTGTGTCCCGTGGCCGTTAGCACGAGGTGGCCCCAGCCCTGACTCCCGGTCGGGCCGTCGCGGGGGCGCCCCTGATTGGCCCGAGGAGCGCCCCGCGGGGAAGCGCCCCTTCTGGGGTCCGAGGCGGCCCCGGGCGCGGGGGTGGGGGGCGCGGGCTGCCCGGCGGCCGCCCCAGCTGCGCGTCCCGCAGGCGCTGAAGTACTCGTTCCAGACGCACGACCGCCTCTGCTTCGTCATGGAGTACGCCAACGGCGGCGAGGTGGGCGCGGGTGCGGGGCGCGGGCGGGGGGCGCGGGCGGGGGCTCGGCGGGACCGGCGCGGGGCTCAGGCCGCCCCTCCCGCAGCTCTTCTTCCACCTGTCCCGGGAGCGGGTGTTCCCCGAGGACCGGGCCCGCTTCTACGGCGCGGAGATCGTGTCGGCGCTGGACTACCTGCACTCGGAGAAGAACGTGGTCTACCGCGACCTCAAGGTGGGCGGCGGGGCGCCGCGGGGGGGGGGGGGTTGGGGGGGCGGGGGGTGCTCCTGGCTGGGGGCGCCGCCGACCCGCTGGCCTGCGCGCAGCTGGAGAACCTCATGCTGGACAAGGACGGCCACATCAAGATCACCGACTTCGGGCTGTGCAAGGAGGGCATCAAGGACGGGGCCACCATGAAGACCTTCTGCGGGACGCCCGAGTACCTGGCTCCCGAGGTGCGCCGGTGCGGGGCGCGGCCCTGTGTCCCCTCGGCGCTGAGGCTGCGGGAGCGCCCCCCGGCCCTTTGTGCCTCGGTTCCCTCCGGCTTCCCCTGTGTCCTCGGTTCCCCCGTGTCCCCCTCCGCCATCTCGTACCCCCCCAGGACCCTGAGTCTCCCCCTTGGCCTACCCAGGCCGTCATGTCTCCCGGGTCCCCGCCCCAAGCCTGCCTAAGCCCTGCGTCCTCCCTGGCCCCCAAGTCCAGCCTTGTCGCGGGATCTGTGGCCCCAGGTGCTGGAGGACAACGACTATGGCCGGGCCGTGGACTGGTGGGGGCTGGGCGTGGTCATGTACGAGATGCTGTGCGGCCGCCTGCCCTTCTACAACCAGGACCACGAGAAGCTCTTCGAGCTCATCCTCATGGAGGAGATCCGCTTCCCGCGCACGCTGAGCCCCGAGGCCAAGTCCCTGCTGGGGGGGCTGCTGAAGAAAGACCCCAAGCAGAGGTGAGCTGGCCGACTCCCAGGCCGGGGAGGGGCCCCGCGGGCAGAGGCCATGTGCTGGTCCAGAGCCGGCCGGACAGCGCTCCGCAGGCCGAGGCGGGGGCCCCTCAGCCACCCCCGCTGCCCCCAGCTGAGGACACGCTGGTCAGAGGCTGTGCCAGTCCCCGCTGCCCGGGGACCCCAACTGCCCGGGTGTTGCCCACTGCCCCTGTGTCCCCCACTGCCTGGGGTGTGGCTACCCACGAGCCAGGTGGGCGGGCAATGACGCCATGACCCGCTGGCCCGTCTCGTCCCCAGGCTGGGAGGGGGCTCCGAGGATGCCAAGGAGATCATGCAGCACCGCTTCTTCGCCAGCATCGTGTGGCAGGATGTGTACGAGAAGAAGGTGCGAGGTTGCCCACGCCTGCCTGGCCGGCCCGCCCACTCGTGCTGGCCCTGCCCTTGTCTGCCTGGCCCAGTTTGCACTTGTGCTGTGGCCATGCCAGGGGTGCTCACTGCACCTCCAGAGGCTGCATGGAGGCTGGTGGGTGTGGACACTGCCCACCGCAGTCCCTCCTGCTGCAGGCAGAACCCAGACCTGTTTTGTGGGTGTGCAGGGATGGTGGGGGGCTTTGCCAGGAGGGGCTAGTTGCTTCCTGCATGTGTTCTTCTGCTCTTTGATTTCCAAGGGACCTAAGAGTCCCATGCCCTGGCCCAGGCTGGCAGATTCTGCTCGCTTAGCTCAGAAAGATGGGCTGATCGTGCTGGGCACTGCCACAGGGCTTGCCTCTGCCTGGTCTCCAGCCCACCTGCCCCTGTAGGACAGGCACCCCCACTCCTCATACTTGGGGTCCAAGATCCTGCCCTGAGGCCTGCTGCCTCCTGGTGTGCCCTACCAGGGCTCCACACCTGCCCAGCCTGGACCCAAGGACCCGACTAATTCACCAGGCCAGGGTCGGGTTCCTGCAGGACTGTCCTCCAGGCAAGGGGGGGTCTTTTGCAGCCCAACTGCTGGCTGCACTGTGGTCTCTGAGCCTCGCCCAGGCAGGGCTCATCCTGCCTGCCCCGGGCCTGAGGCTCACACTGGCAGCTGCTGGGGCCTGAGCTCTCAGCACTGCCCAGCCCGCCTTGCCCCCAGCTCCCTGGGCTTGTGGGAGGCAGGCTGCACCAGGAGGGTGAGGGGCCGGGACAGACGGCTTCATGAGCACCCCCCATCCCGGGGCCCTGCTCAGGGGGTGGGTGGGCCTGGGGGCTGGGCTGGGAGCTGCCTTGTGCACCTCTCTCCATGGCCGCCCCCTTCATCCCTGCCGGAAACTGAGAAAGCCAGAGACAGGGTGTGCCCAGGGCCCCGTGGCACCTACATGGGAGGCGGTAAGGGGAGGGTGCAGTGGCTCTGGGGGCGGCGCACTGGGAGGGGCGCTGGGCAGTGCAGAGCGAGGCCCTCACCCCCCTCTCTCCACAGCTCAGCCCCCCCTTCAAGCCTCAGGTCACCTCGGAGACAGACACCAGGTATTTCGACGAGGAGTTCACGGCCCAGATGATCACCATCACGCCGCCCGACCAAGGTGGGCAGCCCCCCCACTTCCTCAGGCCACGGGGCCCACAGTCTGGCCCTGGGGGCGGGGCGGGGCTGGCTGCGCCCCGGGTCGGGGAGGGTGGCTGGGGGGGCCGAGTCGCGACGCCGCCCCTGGTGTCCCCGCAGACGACAGCATGGAGTGCGTGGACAGCGAGCGCCGGCCCCACTTCCCGCAGTTCTCCTACTCGGCCAGCGGCACGGCCTGAGCGGGCGCCGCCGGGACTCCACTCCGTCGTCCGCCCTGGCCCGGCCGGGGCAGGCCGCTGCTCCCACACGGACAGGGACACCTTTCGGGCGCGCCGCCAGGTCGGGAGGAAATGACCCTGCAGGTTTTCTTAATTTATTTCATCCAGTTTGTTCTCCAGACCTGGCCTGGGCCCAGGCGCTGGGGCCCGGGGAGCCCGAGGGCGGGGCGCGTGAGCCCCGCGAGCCGGCCCGGGGCCCAGTGGCGAGGTTGCCCCTTGGGCTCCATCCCCGCGCAGGATCCCCGGGACCGCCGGCACTGTCCTCCCCAGCGCTGCACCCCCGCCCCCGCCCGGCCCACGCTGCGCTGCACGAGGTGGTTTTTTACAACAGTCAACTTTAGTATTTTTACTATTACATGAAACTTTCCCTCCAAGATCTTCAATAAAAGTTGCTTTTCAACCTTGTGGCTTGTTTTGCTGGGTGGCAGGTGAAGGACTGGGGGGTGGGCAGCCGACCTCCACACCGTCCCGCGTCAAGGCCCTAGGGGTGGCCTCAGCAATGTCTCCCCGTCTCTGGCCAGAGACGCCCCAGCTGCCCCCGTGCTGGCGTGGGGGGCGTCACCCGGCTGCCAAGGCCATCTGCCGGCAGATCCCGGGCCGGGAAGGACCCGCGGGACCCAGGGCTGGCTCAGGACGTGAGCGTGGGGGGCTACTCAGCGAGCTGGACCCGGTGGGGAGCAGCTGTAGCCCGGAGGGGGCTGCAGGGGTGGTGCTCACAGCCCAGCAGTATGTGCTGTGGGCGCCCCCTGGTGGCGGAGAGAGGAACTGGCCACCAGCACAGCCCTGGGCCAGGGCACCCCTACATGCAGAGCCTGACCCTGGGGAGAGGATGGGGGTGCCTGGACATGGCTGCCCCCCTGCTGGAGGGGCATCTGGCAGGGAGCATGGGGCAGCTGGGCCTGGATGGCCTGCGTGTCCTCGGGGCAGAGCCAAGGAGCACAGCATGTGGGACCCAGGAAGCCAGGCCCAAGGAGAGGACCATGCCCGCACACGCAGGAGCCGGGCCAGGCGCTGTGGCCGGGGTGTGAATGGTGCAGCTGCCCTGGGCAAGTAGGAGGTCCCCCCACCTACGCGACCCAGCAGCTCTGGGGTGCGCCACCCCGTGCCCTTGTGTGCACAGCAGCCCGCAGCAGCACGGGTACGTTTCCAACTGGGGCTGCCGGGAGGAGATACGCCCACGCGCCGGAAGAGGTCGCCAGGCACCGCGCGCAGCCCCGAGGACACGGGTGAAGACGTACCAGCCGGGGCTCTGCCTCCAGATGGGCCCGCGCTCCTGGGGGCTCGTGTGTGGTGGCCCCTGGGAGCGGCCCAGAACCCCAGGCTGGGCCTCCCCCAACATCAGCATCACTTGCCCCCCAAAACCGACCAGTGGCCCCAGCACCCAGGGTGCAGCCCCCGCCCCGTGGCTCCCCGCACCCATGAGCCCATTCCCCTTGGACAGGGCTCTTTGCAGGGCTGGGGCCCCACCCCACTTGTCCCCAGAGCCGGCAGGGGCCTGGGACCCCAGGCCAGTAGAGGAGCCAGCGGGCGCCAACCCGGTCTGTGCCCCTGTGCTTCAGGACAGGCTGGGGCTCCCCATCCCCTCTGGGACTTTGCTTCCCCGCTAAACGGGGATGCCGCAGATGCCCCCCACTGCCTGGCGCTCCGCCCACAGCTCTAGGGCTCCTGCAGCACCTGGCAGGTTCCCCAAAGGAGACGCCCTCACTCCTGGCATCAGTGCTCGTGTCAAATATAAAGTTTATTTATTCACAGCCATCAGGAACACGAGACATAAAAGAGACCCCCAGGCCTGCGGTGTCCATGCGCGGTGTCCGACGCTCAGCTCTCCAGCACGGCGCAGCCGGCACACAGCGGCTTCTCGGGGTCGGCGCTGCAGCTGCGGGGTGAAGAGGGCAGGTCAGGGCGAGCGTGTCCCCTGGGGAGACGCCGCTGGCTGACCTGGCCCACACCCAGAAGGCACTGGCGGGTGCCAAGAGGGAGAGAAGCCGCCTGGCCTGAGGCCTGGCCCGCTTCCACTCGGTCAGAGACCCGGGACCACCTGGTGCCCGGCCCAAAGGAGGCAGAGCACACCAGCTCAGGGGCATCACGGGTCACCAGGAGTGATGCCGACAAGAGGCTGGGCCACACGCTTGAGGACACCTGGGCACAGGAGCTTCTCCAACACAAGGAAAGAGCCCCAGTGCCCGGGACCCTACCCACAGGTGCCCACACGACCTGGTCCTCTGCCGCCCAGGATGGAGCCAGCGCCTATTGGCCCACCTACTCTCCTGCACCGCAGGAAGGGACGGGGTGGAGGTAGGAGGCATGGCACCAGCCACCTGGGCTCGGGGACCAGCCACAGGGCCCTCGCCCCCAACAGCTTGGCATGAATTTGGAGGAGGACATGTCCAGAGACCAGGGCCGGGGCCAGGCAGCTCCTATGCCCTAAGGCAGGACGCGCCGCCCCTGCCCGCCTCCTGCTCTGTCCCAGCCCAGGGACGAGGCCACTGGCACTGGGTACACGCCCTTTCCAGTTCACACGCAGAAGGGGGAATCACCGGGCACAAACCCAAGCACTCAAGGGACCCCGGTCGTCCTCCTCTCTCAGACACCAGCACCCGCAGGGGAGTGGAGGCCTGTGGTGGGAATATAGCTCCCATCCTGTGGCCGGCTCAAGGCCTGTGGCAGGTGCACTGCCCACCCCAAGAGTGGCCGGCCGCTGGGAGGGGCCAGTGCCAAGGAGGAGGCAGCGGCCGTGGGCCCCCACAGGAGGCCAGGAGAGGCGGGTGCCCCAGAAAGGCCCACGGGTGCTGGCGTGTCCCTGCTGCCCCTCTCCTGGCTGGCACTTACTCCACGAGGGCGCACAAGGCCCGGGCCGCTGCCCCGCAGCTGCACTGGCCACACGCCGCCTTGCCGTCCGCAGCTCGCACGCACGAGGAGCAGGCTCCGGGCGCTGTGCCCACCAGGTCTGCAAGGAATGACACTGCCAGTCAGGCCCAGAGGGACGACAAGCACTGGGACCCCGGAGCTGACTTGCCTTGCCTGGGGGTGCATGGGCAAGTGCCGCAGAGGCTGGGTGTCCCAGCACTGGGTTGGGGAGGGGGGCAGTATCTCAATGCCTGGCCTGATCCCACTGAGTCTCAGTGGGCCCACTTGGGCCTGTCCAGACCCACCAAGCAGCCCGTGGAGGGGTGGAATGTTCTAATCAGGAGGGCTGTGCCTGCACAGGGCCTGATGGGCGCCCCCAGAGCAGGTGGCCTCTGCCCCTCCTGTACAGACAGTGAGAAATGCTGCATGACCCCTTGCCTGGCACCCGCGGAGACGGCGGTCCCCCCACACCCCCCTTGGCGCCACGCCGGGAAGCAGTCACCGTCACTGACCGGTCTCGGCGCGGCTCCTAGTCAGTCGGCCATCTGGTCCAATCAGCAGCTGCCCCCGCAAGACCTGAGGGGCCCCTGCGCGGCCTGGCGGCGGGGACTCTGGCAGGCCCGCCACAGCACAGTCTTCTTCCCATGCATGGGGCACACAGGCCCGGGCTCCACGGAATAGGAGCTGCCTGGTCTTTTCTGGGGGAGAAAAACGGCACCTCCTGTTTCCAGCCCTGCAGCCCATGGGTCCACGAGGTGACCTCTGCGCCTCGTCACCAGCCACCTTGTCCATGCCGCTTCCTGGAAAGTGGGCCCCTCTGCTCCCCCCCCCCCATCGGGTCGCAGTTGCCACTGTCTCCTGGAGGAAGATTCCGGACTCTGAGCCCTACCCAGTGCCCTCTTTGCCACTGCCTTTCTGTCAGACCCTGGGTTTATGGCCCCCAGCCACCCCACACCGCACAGATCCCATCCAGGGGTGCTCTTCACCTGCCACAGGGCTGCTCGCCAAGCACACGACAGTGACTGCTTCAAGAGCACCCCAGAACCTGCAGACTCTGGCAGGCCCTGGGCCCTGTGCCCTCCGAGCTAAACTGGGCACTCAGCACCCAGAGCAGAGGCTAACCCTCGGCCACATGTCAGGCGCCTGGGGCGATCACAAGATCCAGTGCCCAGGACCAGCTCCAGCGATGCCCTGTCTGGGATTTTCTATCTTGCCCGACAGACTCCTAGAGCCCGGCCAGAGCAGGTCCCAGTTGCGTGTCCCTGTGTGAAGCCAGCAGGTGGCTGAGAAGGCCCTGGGCGCCAGCTCCTCCTGGGCCTTCCAGACCCCCACAATGGAACCACAGCTGGAGATGCAGGCAGGCTGACCCTCGTCCTCAAGAGTTTGTGGTCGCTTGCGCAGAGAGGACAGGTCACTCGTGCGCTCAGGTTGGACATCGCCCTCACACTGAACGCCAAGGGCGAACCGCATACGCCGCAGCGGGTTGGAGGGCGAAGGCGGCGCATCCGTCTGTTTCTTTCTCCTCCTCCTCCGTGCGCGCGGTGCTGTGACGGTGCCGCGGGGCCCAGCTCGCAGCCGTTAGGCCCCTGCCCCCGGGCATGAGCCACCCCAGTCACCGAGATGGCCAGCAGCACCAAGGGCCTGAGAATCCGGGCGGGAGGGCCAGGCGGGAAGGCCTCCAGGACACCGCCGGCGCCGCGCACGACCCGGAACTGGGCATCCCCGCGAGCTGCTCGCCGGCCCGTGCAGCCGCTGCCCCCAGGCCTCGAGCCCCCGCCCCGCTGCGCCCCGTGCTCGGCCCGCGGCGGCGCCGGCCCGGGCCGCTCCTCCACGCTCCGGGTCCGGCGCGGCCGGGCCTCGGGCGCGCGGCGCCGGCCCGCGCAGGGAGGAGCCCCGCCGCGCACTCACCGAAGATCTCCCGCGAGTAGCGCTCGGCGCACACGCCGCGGCTCAGCTCCCTCGGGCCCACGCGGACCTTGAGCTGCAGCGGGGCCGCGTCCGCAAAGGGGCAGCCCCGCTTGGGCATGGCCGCGGCCCGGCAGCGGCGGCGCGACCCGTGACGTTACAGCCGCGCGCCCACCGCGTGGGGCGGGGCTCGTGCGCGGCGAGGGGCGGGATAGGCTGGAGGCGAGGCCGGGGCGGGGCTGCGGCGCGGCGCGGCGCGGGGTAGGTCAGGGCGGCCGGGGGGCGGGCTCGCGTGCGGTGGGCGGAACTCGGCGGCGCGGGAAATACCAGGGCCGAGGTCGAGGGTCAGAAGGGCGCGCCGGGGCGCCGGGGGCGGGGCGCAGGGCGCGGGAAGCGCCGGCGGGGCTGGGGCGCGGGGGGCGGGGCGCGATCGGCGCAGGGGCGCTGGGGGCGGGACTCGAGCGAGGCGCGGCGCGGGATAGGCCGGCGGCGGCGGGGCGGGGCGGGGCGGGGCTCGGCGGTCGCCGTCGTTTTGGGGTCCCGGCGGCTGCAGACGCCGGCTCTGTGCCGTCGGGTAACCTCCCTGCTCGGGCCCCTCTTGCCGACGTTCGTTTCGGCGGAACTCGGAGGGCCCGGCCTCGGCAGCGGCGAGGCCCCGCGCGGCGCCGGCGGGCCTGACGTCACGCGGGACCCGGATGCCAGCCCGCCCCCCCCCCCCCCCCGCCCCGCCCGCCCCCCGCGCCGGCCCCCCGCGCCGCGGCCCGTGGGGCGCCGGTCACCGCGCGGACCCCGCCCCGCCCCCGGCCCCGCGCAGCGCTGCGCTCGGGTTTCTGGCTGCGGGCGCCGCGCGCCGGGCAGGGCCGCGGTCCCCGAGCGTGGGGGCGCCGCGACCCAGGGCCGCCCGCGGACCCTACGCGGGCAGCGACCCCGCCGCCGCCCACGGTGGAGGCCGGTGGCCGCGCCGCCCCGGCTCGAGGGCACGCGCCGCTCCTGCCCGGGCGCCGCCGCTGCCCTAGACCCTGCGCGCCCACTCGGGGCGGCCCGCGCGCCTCTGGCCGGGCGCGGAGCACCGCCGGGGCCGCGCGGGTCTTTCCTGGGCGCGGCGGCGGGTCACGCGGTCGGCACCCCGGGGTGGGGGGCCGCCCGCCCGGTGGACGCTGAGCCTCTGCGGACGCGGGCACCGCGCCCTGTGCCGGGGCGGGGGGGCAGCCTGGGGGTGGCTCGGCGAGGAGGACGGCTCCTGAGGCCCCCCCCCCCCCCGGGCTCGCTGGACGGTCGTGCTGGGGGAGACCTGCCGCCTCGGGTGTCTTCCCCGTGGACCGTGTGCCGGGCAGCCGCGGGCTCGCCGGGAGACGGGCGGGGAGGGCCGTGTCTGAGCAGGGTTGGGACTGGCGACTAGAAACGGATCTGGGGCCCCTGTGTGCAGCTCGGCCCTGGGCAGCACTGCTGCCCGCCGCCCAGCAGACCCAGGCGCACCCCCTCTGTCGCCGCAGGGGCCCTGGAAGGTCACCGGGAAGACAGCACCATCCCAGGAGGCGATGCGGAAGGCCGCGTCCTCACAGCATGAAGGGGGTGCCCCTCTCCCCAAGAAGGGACCTGCCTCGGGGCACTCCCCTTCACCCCTCCTGCTTTCTCGGGAATGCAAGGCGAGGCCTCTGCTCTGCACCCCCCTCCCCCCAGCCCAGGGCGCAGGTGGCTGAGGGGGCCACCGAGGATGCTATGTGGGTACGTTTGCCTTCTCAGGCTGCCGAGGGCTGCACGGCGCACGGCCAGGCGTGCTGGTGGCCACCTGGCTGCCCTGCTGCGGGGGAAGGTCTCGTGGGCCCACTGTCAGGCTGGGGCCGGGGGTCCGAGGGCCACCACTTGCTCCTTGCTCTAGCCCCAAGCCTCCTGCCAGAGGCGCCCCAAGGCCTCTCCCGTGCCTGCCCCTCCTCTGAGTGATAGTGAAGGTGACTTTCTGAGTTCACCCCAGAGTTGTTGAGGGTGTTCGCAGCTTTGAGGGTGTGCAGAGGGCACCTACACCCGCAAACTTGGGGGGATGGTGGAGGGCCTGTGGCCTAGGCGGGCAGGGTTCTGGGGCCAGGATTCCGGTGTGTTCTGTCCTGGACATGTGCTGCCTGCCCGAGACCCCCTCCCGCCGAGCCCGACACCCACGCATGGGGGCCGCCCCTGGCCACGGTCGCCACCCCACTCCCTGCACCTCTGGTGTTGAGACGCCAGGACAAGCCAGCCAGGGGGAGGCAGTGCTGCCCACTGGGACCCCTTTATTGCCCTCCAGCTCACCAGCCCCCACTGCATGCCAGCGCCACGCCCACTTCTGGACAAGGGCGGGCTGGGGGGTGTGGGGTGCCCCGCGATCATGGCCCCTGCGGGGCTATAGGACCGCAGCACACACAGCGCTTCCAGGGGCACAGCCGAGCCCGTGCGACGGGTGCCGTCTGTGCCTAGAACAGCTGGATCATCGACTCCCGGGACTTGCCGACCCCGACCCACTTGACTGCAAAGGAGAAGGGCTATTCAGCCTGGGTGGGCGCGGGTCCAGGGCCCCCGCCCCTGCTGCCCACCGCACCTGCCACGCCGAGGTGGTTCTCCACAAAGCGGATGTAGCCCTGGGCCTGCGGGGGCAGGTCCTCCCACTTCCGCGCGCCCGTGGTGTCAGCCTTCCACCCCGGCAGGGTCTCGTACTCCACCTCCACCTTCTGCAGGATCTCCTGGTTAGCTGGGGAGAGGCGCAGGTGATGCGCGTGCACCGGGAGGGCCTGGCGGGTGCAGCCTCTTGTTTTCTTGAGGTGAGGGGCTCAGACACTGCTATACCCCATCCAGACTGGGCGCACACCGGCTCGGACCTGCATTCGCTCCCTCATAATGCCCACGGTGGCCCCATAGGGGAGGGGAGCCCCTCATAATGCCCACGGTGGCCCCATAGGCGAGGGGAGCCTGCGGGCGATGCCTAGGAACCCTAAAGCTGGGGACACTGCCATCCCCATGGAGGATGCTGGGCCAGGCAGCCCACTGCACAGGGCCCGGGCCCCCAGGGGCACCACCCCACTTCTGTTGTGCCCCCTCAAAGACCAGGGTCAGCACCACCCAGGCACGCTGGCCGAGAGGACACGTGCTGCCGAGGACCTGGCCGTCAAGGCACTGATGGGTGTGCAATTGTGTGCCAGGGGCTTGGGCACTCGCCCCCCGCTGGGAGGGAGGAGGGGGGAGCAGGGGAAGCCCCAGAAGTACAGGTTGGTTGCAGGCCGACTGCCCACTGACCCAGCTGCCCCCCGCAAGGCCTGGGGCAGCGAGAGCCAGCCTGTCTCCAAGAAACCACCTGTCGTGGTCAAGCTGGCCCCTGGCCAGTCTCACTGTCGCCTTCTAGGTATACCTGGGAAGTGGGGGATCCGCTTCCCATTCAGCTTATACGCGATGCCGACCTTCAGCTCGTCCAGGGCGTCCAGGATGTCCAGCTTCGTCAAGGCGAGCCTGTCCCAAAGCCGCCGGGACACGCTGACCGCCAGGACATGCGTGGTTCCGCCCATCCCCGGGGTGGGGGGGCAGAGACCAGACTGGGCGGTCCCGGAGCTGCTTCTGCCAGCCAGGCCAAGTCCGCCCGACCTGCCCCTGGGGGCCAGCCCTCCTTTGCCCCCCACCGAGGCCGAGCTTGGGGTCTCAGTGCTCCCCTGTGCCAGGGCTGGCGCCCCCAGCTGGCGCATCCACCTGCCTGCCGTGAGGCATTGACCCTGTGAGGCTGGCACGGCGTCCCGGCCCTGCTCTCTCTGGGCCCTGGGGTCAGCTCTGGCGTCCCTCTTCCTGTCTCCCGCCCCTGGGAGGTCAGGCCCCTTAGGTCACTCTCCAGTCCCCCAACTCTGGAGGCTCCCGAGAGTAGTTCTGCTTCCCTCGTCCATCCCCTACATGCTCACAGGCATGCCCCGTCGGGGACAGGCCTCCTTGTCAGCCCACAGGGCGCGTGCCCTGCGCCAGGGCTCCTGCAGGTCCCTTACGCAGTGAAGCCGTTGATCATGTGGGCGTATCTCACGGTGACCAGGTCCAGCCAGCCACAGCGCCTTTTCCTGCCTGTGGTCACCCCCCACTCGTGGCCGCGGTTCTGCAGCAGGTCTCCGATCTCCTGCGGGAGGGCAGGGCCATGAGGCCCAGGCCGAGCACCTCAGCCCCACCTGCCCCGCCCCTCCGGCCCCGCCCTTCCGCCCCCCCACCCCCACCCGCGCTCACGTTGATCTGTTCAGTGGGGAAGGCACCGATGCCCACACGGGTGGTGTAGGCCTTGACCACGCCGTAGACCTCCCCTATGTTCTGGGGGGGGATGCCCAGGCCCGTGCACACGCCCCCCACGGTGCAGTTGGACGAGGTGACAAATGGGTAAGTCCCTGCAAGGCAGGTGCAGGAGTGGCGGGGGCCGCCCAGGCTCGTCGCCCCGGCCAGGGCCCTCTGGGACGGGCCGGGTGGCTTGACAGCCCCTGTAGGACACCACTATGTCCTCCGGAGACCACCCCAGGGTGGGCTGGGGATGCGGGAGGGCGCAGGTTGCTCCCCCACGTGGAGTGGGGCCTCCCCGCCCCCACCAGGCTGCCTCCCGCTGGTGTGACCCCACACGGCCCCCAGGGCCCCCTCCGCTCTCGCCCCCCAAAGCTCATCCTAGTGGGCTGAGGCAGCACAGCCCGGTCAGCAGCAGCCTGGCCTGCGAGTGGACAGGAGCGCAAAGTGCTGGGTCTACCGAAGTCGATGTCCAGCAGGGCGGCGTTGGCGCCCTCCACCAGGATCTTCTTGGGGGGCCCGTGCAGCGCCTCGTACATGAAATGCACGCCGTCTCGGACCAGGGGGCGGATGCGCTCGGCCAAGCCCTGCGGGGGCATAGGTTAGGGGGTCTCTGCAGCGGCCGCACCCCAGCACATCCCGCCCAGGGGGCCTGTCCCACCGGAGCAGCCCTCACAGCCCGCCATGGGGGAGGGGGCGGAGCGGTCCCTCCAGGGGTGGGGCCTGGCCCTGCACTTCAGGATGCCCCTGCCTGGGCTCTGCAGGGCCAACAGAGTGGCCGGGCCCTCAGGATGAGCGTGGAGGGATACGTGGCTCCTGGGGCTGGAGGAGGCCTGTCTGCACGCCAGGCCCTGCTGGGACTGCCAG